AGTACCACCTAAAGGGAAACCTTTGCAGTTTTTCCACCATGCCAGCCCAGGTAACTTATTGGCATACAAAAGCGAGGCAGCAAGAAAACACGGGTAAACCGGCACTGATTGCAATTTCCTAACCATGAGCAATAGTGAAAATATTGCAAAAACTCTTACAGCATCCTGGGAGGAGAGGGGAACATTTTATTTCTCCCTCTAACCATTATTAGTGGAGTTATTGCTCTCAAAAGATGCTATATCTTCCCCAGGACAGCATGCCTCAGCCTGGCCCCAGCGAGGCTGAGCCTGGAGGAGCAAGGGACACCGGTGTGCGCTGAACTGAGCATTTCCATGCGGACAGCCACGCTGGTGACAGCCATCCGTGCGGCAGTGAGTCACCAGCCCACGAGGCACCTCACCAGCCCGGCACTGGCTCACAGCTACCAGCGTCTCCCAGTCTGGCTTGGAGGCGTTTCCTGGGGATGAGATGCTGAAACACGGCAGGCACACTGGAGACAAGTCCTGGGCTCCTGAAGGACTCTTGACCTGCTCAAAGCAGAGTCGGTGTGCAAGGCAAAAAGGTTGGAAAGGGATGTTCTGTGCATCCCATTAATTTTGGCTGTACGTATACACATATCGCTGTTATCATGTTTTTGTATGCACTTGCATTGCAGCTGGGAGATAGAAGTGCTGCAAGCTTATCTAGCTTACCCTGAGCTCTTTGGGTAGCAAGAGTTACTTAAGAAGCGGTAACATGGACATCCAGGGGGGTTAACCACCCAAATACCTATGGACAAGCGTGGTGCTGACCTCCACGTCTCCCCCTGGCTTTTCCAACTCGGACTCAGTGCTCCTTGGGAAGAAGGTTAGAAACAAAATGCCCAGTTATTTCCTACGATCGAATTTCAGAGCCCTCCAGACCCCACAGACGGCTCTGCTACGAGCCTCGGATGAGCTCCATTTCTGCAATAACTCTTCCAGAGAGAAAGAATTAGGAGGCTTAACACTTTCGGATGACAGTTGCCGGAGCCACCGTCAGATAACAGGTACCGGCAGCCGGCACAGGAGCCGGGAGCGAGGCAGGCTGTCTGATTCAGCCAGCCTGGAAAAAAGCCGTGTTTATAAAAACCCACATGAAAAGGAACAAATTGCCAATTACGCAAAAGTCTTTAAATAAAGCAACGCAAACCTTTCATGTGCAGGAGACAAATGATACACGGTCACAGGGAAATAATATAACAGATAGGGAGGCTGAGAGCAGGGAACGTGAGCAAATCCGTTTTCCAGAAGCAAGAAAGGGGACTCACTCGCTGAAAAGGATTAGCTGGATAAAGCCAAACACTTTTAAAAAAAAAACTGTATTAGAAACTAAACATGCGTCAAACAGAAACAGGAAAAAACCCAGATTGTAAGAAGATCCAAGAAGCTATGCTCTGCTCCTGCTCAGAAAGAAAACGCTGTCAAAAAAATATCCTATGTAAACTTGCCACACACACCAGACCATCAACAGGCATTTATCAAATGAAACACAAACCAAATGCAACTCTTCTTCCTAATCCCAAGTCAAACAGGCTTTGAGTTTCAGACCCTCAGGAAGAGATTTCCATATGATCCTCCTCTGTCTCCGTTTATGATTAGCCCTTCTAAATTTTAGCATTTATCTGACAAAACATGTTGGGGAGGGCTTTCTTTTATCCGCAAAGCCTGTGTTTCTGCTTTTCCTTAGCTGCTGCTGTACCACTCTGCAGCCGCTCAACTTGGGAGGAAAAGACTTCAGTCAAGACCCTTTGGTTGACTAAACTCAGGATCACTTTCCTGATGGTGGTAACCCCAAGCCCTTGCGTTACGTGCCAACACCAAAGCAAGCCAGCGTTTGCAGAAGGGGTTATAAATGCTGCCTCTGAGCCAAAATCTTACTTTTGGGGCTCAGTAATGCAAATATAACATCTGCGCGTGGGGGGTCCCACTGGCAATAGCTGTGTGGCCAGTCGGAGGGGTCTTTGTAGTTTTGGGAGAGAATTTGTGGTGGCGAAACATTTCAATCTGGTCTGGTGGAGCTGTCGCGCCGAGCCAAGGCTGACTCTTGCGAGCAACCGCAGGAGCACAGTTCCCACTTGCCGTCCTCCTGCAGCCTGAGGTATGGTCCTCATTAACCAGCAATTGATATGTTTCGAATGACATATTCATAAACCCCTGAGTCTGATCACAGCTAATTTGCAGACAAAAAAGGGAGTACATTTGCTTAATACACTGCTTTTTGTAAACACCCTGATCGTTCCCAGATGCATCTGTTTCTGCCCAGCAGCACTCGAGGCAGCAGGAGAGGAAATAATTTCAGCTCCCGAGAGTCACTGACCTAAGCAGTTTCAAGATGCTCCAAGAGCCCTCCTGCATCCATTCGAGGGAGCTGTACCCACCTCCCTCCTTCAGTCAGACCCAGCTTCTTCTGCTGGTTTTTTCCACGCTAAAATACAGCAGCAGGATCCTCGAACCCTTCGCTAAGCGAAGCACTTGATATCGCACATGCAAGCACTGCAAAACTGCGTAAAGCCAGATCCAGATCAGAATGGTATTTTGATCTCGCCCATGGCAGAGAAACCGGTTTTACTGATTCCCAGTGATCTCTCCTAAATTTGCCCTAGGAGTGTGAAATTAGCTATGGAGAAGCTTCCAGGAAAGGTTGAGGCTGGTGGGAAGGAGGAAATTTCACATGAGAATTTGAGAGTCTGGCTCCCGAGTGATTCAAGTCAACGCAGATCTAGATGTTATGGCCCAACACAGCTATGGAAGAATCTCTTTCATGGCATAAACCAGCAGATCAGCCCTCCATTTCAGCTCATGGCAAGATACTCGCAAAAAATACAGCTTTGAAGAGACAGCCAGAAGCTTGGAGTTGGATGAACATTTTATTTACAGCTTCTTATTCAGTTCAGCTATGAGATAAGGTAAAATAATAAAAATAATGGTGCTCAGAACTTACAAAGCAACTTTTATCTGAAATCTCAGCACAAGTTAAAAACAATAACTCCATGCTTTACAGGCAGGCAAACCAAACTGTTGTGCCCATGTCTGCAAAGAGTATCAGTATTGGAGACACACTTGAATCCAAACATCCTCTTCCTCTGCCGTCTGCTCCCCCAAAAGCGATTTACTTGCTGTCGCCCTGAGTAGAGGCTACCTAACCGCATTGAAACCTCATTTAACCAGAAAAGCACCCGAGATGTCTCAGTGGACAATCCTGTACACATACGGGCACAGGGCTGCTCAGAGAGCTGGGTCAACCTGCATGCAACAGAGGTTACTGCTTTTTCTGGGTATGAATTTTTCGTAATTGCACCTCCTGGCTTTCCCTATTCATACATTAGTTGAAAACAGTGAAACGATTTATTGCACAAATAAAATTCAGCCATAGGTCACTTGCAAACTAGTTAGTGTGATTTACAGAGCAATTAGCTTCCCATATTGATCATGAGAAATTCCCATTGAAGGTGTGATCAAACACTTAAAAAAATAGTATCATGTGATACTGTTTCTGCTTACTCAGAAATGGACACAGAGCTTCCCAAACCAACATCCTTGACTGTGATCTTCACTGTGGGGTTTTTTGTGTTATTGATAAAAAACCCCAAATAAGCAGGTTGGCCAGGGCAGCTCATATAGATTTCCCGCAGTGTATTTTAAACTCTGATTATCAATATTGTGAGCAGTGCTTCAGCTGAGCTGTTCTCCAATAGCCCATTCATTTTTCATTGAACTAAGGAATATTTAAAAAGGCATTTATATGAAATAGGAAGGCAAGTGCTGCATCCTTGTGATGAAGGTGGCTGCTAAGCATCAGCGAGCCCAGTGCAGCCTGGTGCAGGGATGCTCGCCGTGCGGGGACCATTGGTATGGTGTTTTGGTTTAATTAGTCATCCTGATTCAGCTGTTCTCATTTCAGCCCTGGCCTGGCTCATTCATGGTTATCCAGGCACTCGACAAATGTCTCGGAGAGCTGAGGGATTTCACCTCCTCAGTGACTAAGTACTTGAAAAAACATTACCCGTTAACATTTTGTTAATGGTATTTTTAAGCAACTTTCCAGAAAGCGAGGCTGAATGTGCTTCCGGCGATTCAGGTCGCCTTCAGAAATCCCCATTCAGGTCTGCTTGTGCTGGGTAGGTTCCTGCTCCCTCCCAGCTTATCAGCTGCGGCCGGCGGATTTGGGCGCTATGGGAAGTTTCATTTCCTGCTTCTTGGGCTGCCTGTGGCCGGCAGCCTTTGTAAAAGGAAAGACATTCTTCTAATTCTTGTTATTAACCCGTTGGTGATCTCTGAGACACGAGCCAAAATTGTCAGAAAAGCTCAGGATACTACAGCTTCCATCAGCCCATCATTACACAGCCAGCACCAGACTCTCATTTTTCCTAATTTTCCATTTTTTTTTTAAATAAAAAATAAGACAGATGGAGCACAGACTTATTTTAATGCATCTTTCTATTTGACACATGATTTACAACCTCTGTAATATCTCAAGCAATGCCTGCCCGTGGCACCACTGCCGCAGCATCTTCTGCTGCTGGCTGCACTCCCGGCGCAGGCGGGTGCCTGGGGCACAGCCACCTCCGGTGCGGAGCCTGGCATCGTACCCCAGCAACTTAGGATGGCAAGTAAAGAAGATAAAAATAAATGCTGGAGGTATTTTAAGCAGATGCAATACATTTCTCAAAGCTAAGCAACGCCTGAAAAAATAGCTAAGTGATTTAGTAAGAGTGTCGAAAATGACCAGAACTGCTTTCCTTCTCACTGGCAGTGACTGGGAGGGGTTTGGCACAGAATAAATCAAAATACATCCTGAATTAGTCCTCCTCACCAATATGTCTTTGCAGATCCTCCCCACCCAGCATTAATACAGCTTCCCTGAGCAATTGTGGCGTGAAGTTGCTGAGAAAACCAGTTGAAAACCCTTTTCTCTCCCCACCCCGGCAAAAATCCACAGCCGTAGCAAACTATTGCATGGTGAAACGTGCAGTTCCTACCTGAACGAGGAGCTCCAGCTTCCTGTCATCAAGGAGGTGCACTTGGCATCTGCGACCCTCCGTCATCTGCAAGAGAGAAGAGGCACGTGTGTCAGGGCACTCGGCTTTCCAGCTCGGCACGCGGCTGCCGGCTCCCCCGGCGCAAGCTGGAGGCTTTCATTCATTCGCTGCGGTGCTTTCAGTTTGTGGTTTTGTGGTTTTATTTGGTTTTTTGTTTTGTTTTTTTTTTTTTTTTAATTAATCCCCCTTCTTTTGGCACTGGGGGAAAGAAAAGGCTGGAAGGAGAAAAAGAAAAGCCACCCCAGTAGCTGTCACGGAGCAGCGTGTGGCGTCTGCTTGGACGCAGCTGCCAGGAGGAGGTCGTTCCAGTGTGAAAAATGGGGCCAGGGGGACGGTTTGCAGCACAGGGGCCCCGACATTTTATACCGCAGCCTCCGGCTTCGCAGCCAGGTTGGCCGGCGGAGGAGACGTCCAGACAAGTTTCCCTCAAACCCCTCCACAGCAAGGATTCAACCATCCCAGAGGCAGCACAGAGCAAGCAAGACTCCTCCCTGGGCCGTGCTGACGGTGCTCCCTGGGGTTGCACCAGCTGCTCGTTTGGGCCCGAATCCCAAAATGGGCTTGTCCTACTTGGGGTGTCCTATTTAAGATGTACCACAGGAGCCACTTGTGATATTATCATACTGGTCCAAAGGTGCTTCCATACCAATATAGTTTATTACAACTGTTAACAAATAATATCCATAAAACTTTTAGGTATAGAAAACTATTTCTTCCAAGGTCCCGTAGATTGGGATGCTAAGAAATAAATAAGCCACAGCTTGAGGAAATTCCTCTACAGCTGGTCAAGCCCTTTCCTGACTCTGCTCTTGCGCAGAGCACCGTAAGAGAGGAGCAACTTTGCTTTGCAGAGTTACAGATCTGGACTCAGCCCTGCAAAGCCCTTCAGCGTGCACAGGCACAGGCACAATCCCACTATCTGCTAATGGGATATGGACTGCCTAAGCCTCTTTGGCTCTTGGAAATCCCTTCCTCAGCACAACTTAGGCAGCACGCAGGCAGCCTCCCCGGAGGGGCTCGCCCCACAGCACTCATGCGTGCCTGGACCCATGGTGGCACGGACCCAGCTCAGCCCCGCAGCATGGCTCAGTGCCGCAGGGACCCACCATCCTCCAGCCAAGGCACCTTTCTAAGCACTGCATGGATCCCCAGCTCAATTTAATGATATTTCTTGCCTTGGTGAGTCCTAAAGCATTGCCAGAAGGGAGCAGAGGGTCCACAGGAGCTTGGCAGGGGGGGTACAGGCTGTCAGGGATGCGGCTGCCACAGCACCCTGGGCATTTCTGCCCTCACCCATCACTTCTGCCCAGCAGCGCCAGCTGAGCTGAGCCCCCGATGCAAAGCTGCCTTGCAGAGAGCAGGGAGGTGTGGGCTCGGGGTTAACTGAGGACAGCTCAGCTTTCTTCTTTAGCTCTGTGGGTTAAAAAACACCTGCTCCCGTGGCTTGATGAGGCCAGATGCGCTGGCATCTAGGAGGTGGTGGTGGATGCCCCACCATCGGCTTTGCCCGTTTGAGAGCCCAGGCAATGTGTGGCCCTTGCCATGGGGTCTGCACCCTTGGCCATCTCCAGCAGCGTTGCCCTCGCCCTGCCGGTTGCCAGCTCTTGGTGCGTGAGCCCACCAGGCTCTCCTGGGTGCTCCTGTCCTCCCTCTTGCCAGCTCTGTCCCACATCCATCTCCTCCTTTCCTGGAGCCAGGACAGACCGAGTCTTACCCTGGCCCCAGCCTCTTCCCCATAGCAAAAATTCAGATATGCTAACAGCTCTATTGAGCCTCAAGCTGGCCATGCAAGATATGGAGTTTATTATGAGACAACTTCAGTCAAAATGAGCTTTTCCCTTCAACTCATCCCAGATTTACAATCCTGGCATGCACAATCCCATGCAGCCCAAGCAGACTTCACCCCCGTTGTTACTCACACCAGCATGCCTCTGGAGTATCGTGCACGCTAAATAACATCGCTTTCCTTCTCATTTTCCATGAGCACAACTGGAGCCCTGGCATTGCAGTCAAAGGAAAGCCTTGTAAAACAAGGCTTCTCATAAATGTCAGCCAGTTACTACCATGGCAATAAATTATAAATTGTCTTCTTACAAGAGTTTCCTCTGGTAAGTAATGTTATGCAAAATATGGCTTCTTATATTACTTGGTGAATGAGATTTTTCTCTATGAAGTCTGTATTAAACAGCTTTCAGCTCAGTTCTGAAGCTATGCCAGAGGCCTGCAGAAGGGCTTTGCAATCGTTTGCCCTGCTTGGTGTGAGTCGTGTTCACATGGGTGCAGGGAACCACCAGCTTTCTTTGCTGGGCTTCCCCTGCAGATGAAGCTCCGAATGCCTGAGCTCTGCTTCGCCATCTCTCTCATCCTCTTACTGTCACATATCTGTTGCATCCCCAAGATGGTGAGTATGCACTGAGATTCCAGTTTTAATATGAGTTTACCCAAGGCAGGAGATAAAGCAGTGAGTTTATCATGGCAGTAACGTGCGATGGCAGGGATGGAAACTCAGTCCAGCTCTTGCGTGTTATGCTCCATTGGTTATATCAAAGTTGAAACGAGAATAAAAGAACGTGAAAGGGGGCAGAGGGAAAACTTGCGGAGATGTTTGACTTTGTGCTCTAGTGTTTCAGCAAAGTGCTTGCTTTCTGTGTGGAGCTTCTTTAGCTCTCCACACTTTTCTAACCCGGAGTTTCGTATCTCCTTAGGGCTTTCATGGCTTAAAGAAATCCCAAATGCAAACAGCTGGTAACATGAAGTATCTGAATAAAGCGAAGCTCTGAAATGCAGCACATCTGGTCTAATTGCAAGGCACTTCATGACCATCGCTTGCAGGAGAGGAGGGAGGAGGAGCGAAAGGAGGGAAAGCACATTGCTTTCAGATCAGCTTGTCCCCAGCAGTTCTGTCCATCAGCAAAGTGGCTGTCAAAGACCATGATCGTTTTTATAGTTTGGTCACACAGTGTGTGAGCACACAGCAAGGCAGAGGCTTTATTTCTTCAGTGCCACCTTGTTTCTGTGCTTCTCAGTGGTTTGAAGGTTCATGCTACAGGCTAATGACCCCAGCTGGTGGCCTGCAGGCTGTTTCCACCAAGGCATTTCTGCACAAGAAAGGGTGAAGAGCTGCTCCAGGAGCTGAAGAGGATGCACCAGCCACTGCACAGCCTCGGGGCGAGAAAGACACCCAGCACAGGTACCAACACAGACAGTGAAGGAGCTTCTGTTTTTGTCTTGGCTGATACCTTGAAGCTCAGAAGGACTGGCTGGAGATCTGCCACAGTATGTCCTTCTGTAGCCAGGATGCCCAGCCATGGGGCTTTTCACTTCCCTTTGAAAGAAATGATGCTTTCCAAGACAAAAGAAGAGAAGGTGGAAGACAGACTTCCTCCTTGATATAAGATAAACTGTGCTGGTCTTTCCCTCCTTTCTGTTTTATTATTCCGCCAGGTGTCTGAAGCCCACACTATGTGCTTTTTTGCATCAGATCAATAGAAACTCTGCTAGTTTGTCAGAGCAAGAAACGACAACGTTTCAAAGCACAGCAAGAAGGAACTGATTTAGCACAGTCTGTCTGCATGAAAGATGCCACTTCTGACGCTTTGCAAATTGGCTGATCTGCGCTATCCGCTGCGCTGCGATGGATGGAGCTGTGGCTGGCTCTAGGGGGACAAGTCAAGGAACCCCTTCTGCTTCTCTGTGTAACCAGAGAAGGGAAATCAACATCAAAGCCCTGTAGATGGGAATGTAGGAGCAGGAGGTCACTAAGCATGAGCTGAGCAGCACCAGAGTTTGGATGGAGGAAGACTACAGGGAGTGAATCGAGATTCTCCACTCCCAAGGCTCTCACCCAGAGAAGGATGGGCTAAAGGCACAAAGGCACAGCTTTCTCTTCACCATGGAAAAGCGAAATCCCAGCAAAGAGACAAGAAGCAATGGTTGAGCAGAGCTGTGGACAGAAGAGAAGGACACTTGATGTGGCAGGGAAGTGGGGGAGTTTGCTCCTGGTCAAATCCTGCATTTCACTGTGAGCTCAGGGAGTGAGTTTTCCTTCTGGAGGGCAAGAGCCCTCTACCCTAACTCCAGAAAGTAAAAAGTCGAGTGTCTAGTTCAGCCTGACAGTCAAGATGCCCTTGATGCTCAAAGCAGAGAGAACTTTCAGACATTTCAAGTTAGGTGAGACAATTCCCAGGTGAGCTCCACGGTTGTGCTGGCTGCTTGCACATGGTTTGTCCCATACCTGGAGCTCAGCTCTAGTGCTCAGCCCAGGAGAGCCTTCCAACAGCCAAGGGTGCTGTATCCACATCAACCCCCAAATTTCCGATGCTTCTCAAGACGTGCGAAGAGATGGGACCATGTTACACACTCCTGAGTGCTCACAGTTCATCCATATGGCAGCGAGCTGCACACGCTGGGTGTGAATATGGGCCACATGAATTTCATGGGCCAGACTTATCACAAACTCAGATGGAAATTATGTGCCAAAATACAGAACAGATTTTTTTTTTCAAAACAGCTCAGTACATCACATTTTTCTGAAAATCTGCCACTTCTTTTAGTGCCTGCACATGCGGCATGACCCCTGAGCACTTGAAGAGCTAAACATGAGCGCTTTTGAAAAGCGCTGTCATTTATGTACATGAGTGTGCAAAGACTAGGGATAATATATCTCCAACACACAAACACAGATGGTGCTTGTAAGGCACATGAATGTCTGAAGCGATGTGTTTGTGTGGGTGAGGTGCTGGATTAGTGTGCAGGAGAGCTGATCATACAGGAGGCATGTGTGCTTTCTCTGCTCCTTGGCTTTTGCACCTTGAGGATGGGAAAATTGATGCTGACCTCTTTGAGATTCCATCAGTGACAACAAGACCTGACATACACGCTTGTTCACTCCAGTAAAGGGATGCTACAGAAAGGAAATATCTCTCGTGGTTACTCATGGGATCTTCCGGATCGTAGCTGTTTTTCTCAAGGAAAGGACGTTTTAGTTACCTTTATCACAAGACTTG